CAGTGCGAAGCCGGGGCGGATTCGGACTCTCAGTTTCCCGACTCTCTCTGGTGCCGCTTGCAGTGAAAAGGCAGTGGCGCTTGCCTTATTGTCTTGATGTACCGCCCCTTATCTCTACATCTGAAACCGGCTGCCACCTTGCGGCTGTTTAAAGATGCAGTTCCCACCAAAAGTACAATTACATACTTATCATGGGTGATTTCAACGTACATTGTTTAGAAACCCCCGCCACGATAGGAGAACAATACAAAACAGATCGACAAGATCTAGTAACTACTGTTCCTCTTTACAATTACATCACTTTGCCAACGCGGTTCAGAACAGGCAACAGGCCATCTGTGCTGGAGCTTGTGCTTATCAATGAGGAGCATATGATTGAGATGTTGGTTGTAGACCGCGCGTGGGGCCGCAGTGGTCAGTTTCAACTTCGTCTGCTATGCGGAATATCGGAATGAGAACGATGAGACTGTGCGAATCATCACAAGCTACGATCGATTAGCCCAGCTCGTCAGCGCTACAACTTGGTCGTTCCTTGACGAAGAACAGCTGGAAGTCGCCTGGCTAGAGTTCGTCAACAAATTCAGTCAGCTGATTACGGAGACTTCAGAGATAAGCATTTGGGATTAGAGCAAATTTGTTCCTTTCCTTAGGAGCAGAACTCGAAAATGGATGATGATACGCAACGCAGCATGGTGTGTGTACGGAGAAGCTCAAGCACCAAACACTTGGGAGGACTACGTAGCCCAAGGTAACCTCTGCACTCAACTGCTAAGGGAAGACAAAGCCGCATATCAGCAGAACATCGCAACAACTTCAGTGCTAACCACAAACTGCTGTACAAACATGTCAATAGTCTAAGAAAGGAGAGGCAAGGATTTTCTCCACTCACGTTGGCCGATGGCCTAACAAGAACGGCGCTGCGGATGCAATAGGCCGCCACGTATCAGAGGGTCTTGCCACCAAGCGATCTTCAAACCTCTGTCGTCTCTCCGCCAGGACTAACCCACGTCCCTTTTACCCCGGAGGCTGTATTGCAAAAGCTGACGTCTGACACAAACACAGCTCCCCGGGTGTTGATACCACTCGTCTAGAGCCAGTGGAAGCAGCAATAAGACAACTGACAGGACAATTAAATCAGTTTTACAAGCGCTGCGTAGACCAGAACCAAGTTCCCACAATATGGAACCTTGGAATAATAACCCTGATTCACAAATGTGGAAATAGTACTGAGTCACGCGTGGAATGATCTCCCAGAATCGTTCGCCTCTGCACCGACACTAACAGTATTTAAAAGACGGTTGGATGACGCACTCATCGACTTACACTTTGTCACTTAGCGCTACGTCTCTATCCTACACCTGGAGTTTACCATGGGATTATTTGATGTTTACTGTTGGTGCTGCGAATCTAAGAGGATTGCAGGACTACGGTGGAGCAAACGGTAAGTCGTTATTTCATAGTTAAAGTACTAACTGTTTTACCATTATTATTATTATTATTATTATTATTATTATTATTATTATTATTATTATTATTTCGATAGTGCTACCAACTATCCAACGAGACTCGTAAAGGAATGCTTCTTAACCGATATGAATCCATTGTGCGTTGTCTTCAAAGTGTTAAATACTACTGTATACCAGGTCGCATGGAATTTTAACCAAATGCACTTGATGAGGTATCTGAACTGCTTATAGGCAGGAGAGTCTTGACAGCAGTGTCATCGAAATTAGCACACCATCGACAGCCACAGTGAACTAAAACGCTGAGAGAGTGTTCTTGCAAGTAACATTGCTCATATCTAACAGGACACTTGGAACATCAGTGCCAAAGGTACTAAACTTATACTGAGGGATATGTCTTCCTGTCTACAACTACTATTATGATATACCCGCAGTTTGTGCTGGTTCAGTCATGTTCTCCGTATGTCCGCCAAAAATCAACCCGGAGCGGGTACTGATAGTCTGGATGAAGCTTCAGTGAGACCGAGAAGTAACGCAACAAAGACGAATGAAGAACACCTACAAGAGGCTGAGTCACAATAGTGAGTTTTGCCTTCCCAAATACTTTCCATGCAACAAGCCGGTTTAGGAGCCAAATATCGGATACGTTATATGCAATCAAGAAATCAGTGAGTATATCGAACCTACTAGATAGCATCCGGTTGACTTTCTCACACCGAATTTAAGCCTATTCCTAGTTCTTTGTTTTTGACATATCAGCGCTTTTCTGGAAGCTTAATCATTCATTAGCTTCAATTCCGATCAAAATGACAGTTTGGCAACTGGACACACGACGCAGAAATGCTTCCAGGATGGTTAGCAATCGGAACCCAACCCGATACGAACGGAAAGAGTAGTCGCAACTGTGCATGCGAATCACTAATCAGAACACAAAGTAGATGTGTTCGACGGCATCAGATAGCAAAACATGGTCCCTTGTGCGCTGCAGGTAGTATGGAAGCGGTAACATTTTGAGGCCAAGAGATCGCCCAAGCTGTTAGTGATGCATTGTTGATTAAAGTGATGTAGAAGGAAGCTATTACAACTAGCAGATCGCCTGTGAAAACTGTGTAAAACGACAGATAGCCAATTAATTGTCGCCAAGTCAATTAACAGTGTAGGGCTGACAGAATAGGCAGCGCAATAGAACAATGGTTTGTAGCGGATAAAAAAGCACAGGCTTGAAATGTCCCAAAGGACGGTAAAGAATTGCAAATTCGAATACTATGTAAGTGGAGCAAATAGAATACGCATCGGTGAAACGAAAGGGTAAAAGTTTAAAAATAATGAGACGGTTGGTGTGAGATAGAACCAGGCAAAACCGATTAACAAGTTGTATGGTTAATGCTAACAGCAGTCTGCACATATTTACATACATCATTGGGGGTTATAACTCCAAGAAATCTAGTTAGCCTGAATGTATTTAGCATCCGTACATGCAACAAGGTGTAGGGAGTTTAATGCGATATTTAACCGTTTTTTTGGGAAAACAGTTAAGGTGAGCATAAACAATTGAGTTGGGAAGAGGGTTCCAGGGTTAGCAGACCTAGAGGGAGAAGTAAGTTGGTTCATAATCTATACGACTGTATTGTTGACTCAGTTTCAGGCTATTACCTCTGAGGTTGGTGTTTGGACTGAGAGTCAACAGGTGACCGGAGTCGCTCAGTAGTTAGTAACCTAATATGAGGTGTCAACGTAGCCACCGGAAGTGTCCGCTGAATACTCTGAGTACCTTCAGTCATTCTTGATACGGAAGGTGGTGCAAACCTCCTTTTTTGCTCGACGTTGTGGAGTGTCGAGCACGGCGAGATCACGCTTTTGCCAAGGTTGCCAAGCCCGGATTGCGTATTTGACGTGGGACGCACGTAGGCATTGATGATCAGAGAGAAGATGGATGAATGCAAACTCCCGAGAGCCCTCCGCAAGAGACCAACATGACAGTTACCCCCTTTTGAAGTAAACACTAACTACCTGGAACAACCGAGATAGCCCTGCCCCAGCACAACCAGATCATGTTCCCGAGAACTTGTCTGCTGATCGTGTTCCCAAGCTTGTAGATGCAGGAGTGTCGATGGCGGATGTGGACAACACGACCCTTGTCCACACTGAATGACAGTGCGTTCCTCACCAACGAAATTCAGGTCCCAGAGAGGTCGCACTAGAGGGCTTCGTGGTCGTCCGATTCCTTGATCGCTTGTGAAATCTTAACGTCGTCCGCAAAGAGTAGAAATTTTGGGGTGACAACTCCCGCTAGATGGTGAATAAAAACTAAGAAAAGGCAGCACGGTTTTCAACCTGATGTCATCAGACGGGGCGAGGAATGCCATCGCGGACTCCAGGTCATCTTCACAAGCAGTGTCCCACGCATGACAAGGATGAGGGAGCACCAAGGTTAGAGATCATCAAAATAAAAGACGGTTTAAATCAGTTAGGCGAAGTGAAGCCATCGGAAAGAGCTAGATCGGTCGTCAAAACGCACTTTTCATGGTTCGATGCTGCTCAATTGAAAATGCGTGGATAAGCTAACATTAGTAAGCCAGGGCACTATCTCTCCATCCGATTAGATAGCTTATTTCTCTCTCCTTATCCCATCCGACCCGTACTAAAGCAATAATCACCTTTCCGGCAATCGGTCAAGGCTACGTTGATGACGTATTGAGGGAATTCTCCCTATATGGGGACGAAGGCTTTACTGGACAGTATTGGAAAACCTTCATAAACAGGCGAAATGAACAAGGTAACCGTGACGGGATCGGTTGGAAACCTTCAAATACACATACTACGCATTAGACATCAGTAATTACCCGAGTAGCTCATTGTGTCGGGAGATAGTTGACGACTTAAAGAGGGAGATCGCGCTTCTGAGAGATAACCATGTCCGCTGCATGGAAGCAGACTGCGGAATTGCTTAGGCGTGTGAAATATCGACGACTCCCCCCAAGGGCACGAAATTGTCGTCTGGCAAATACCCGGATGCTGATGGCTGTATGACTGGGTGCACCTGCAACGCACGACATCAGTACACCAAAAAACGTTGATTCAAGCTTGGTCGAAAGAAAAAGGGCCGAGAATAAGAAGGAGACTAGAAGGAGAGGGATCATGAGAGAAACAACGACCATACTTTCTAAGAGAGGGAAAATAAGGTAGCATAACGTGCAGGAAGAACGAAGCGAAGCAATATAGACCTACGATAGGCACCTGTGAACGAAATGTCGATGTCAAAGTATCAAAAATGAATGTGAAGCCATCGAAAAACTGACTCTGGCAAGTGGTCGATGAGGCACTGCGCAAAAGAAGTCGCGATCGCGGCGAACCATCTGATTCCGAGAAGCAAACGGTAGTCTCAAATTCACGGATCACCTACCACTTAAGCCGCACAGCTCGGATGCAATTTTAAGGGAAAAACCCGTCCAAAGGTTTGTGAGGTGCTCGCAACTAGGTAGACATAAAAAGCATAGACATCCAGTAAGGAGCCGACGGAGAATATAATCTGCTTACATGTCTCATCGATCACCTCGGTGGGCAGTTCATCCTTGTTTAGCGCGAGTGCCTCGAGCATAGCATAGTGTCGCTGAAGTAAGGGGTTGTGAATCTGTCTCGGGTCAAATGGAACAGTCAATTTTTTGATCAAAGACTTCGCTGCTTCGACTTGATCGGCGGATGCTGAATGAGAAGAAATCATAAAAGCAATGAAAGAAAAGTGAGCACGAATCGAACAGAATCAGATCTCAAGGACTGCCAGTGATCCCATCATGTCCTGGAGATGATGTTAAAATACAATAAGATGCAAAGTTTAGCATGATTCCGTTCGTGAGGGCAACCATAAAACGAAAAGAATATTGCAAGAATCCGACACATGAACCACGTGAAAAAGACACTGTTCTGTGAGGTATTGTCATGCGCTAAGTAAACACAACTATGGCTTAGAATCCAGGGAGGAATTCGGAACATTAGTATACAGTCCAGACTAGTGTAAATACACAACTGTCCAGATATGAATGCTACCAGATAGGTAAGCATATATAGCATGCACGGAAGTTATTCAGTTTGAAAAGAATACCTTTGGGTGTATCGAACTGTCATAAAATTTAAGAAAAGACAGGAAGAACCTTTGTCTGTTTACCCGACAAAGACTCCTGAATGCGTGACGTCTCAAATTACAGCAACTACCAACAAACCTTTGTGCTAGAATGTGACGAAATGGAATTACGAACACTAGATAAGCCAGCATCACATCAAAATGCTTGGGTGCGCTTTCACCTTAAAGGCATCGGTATCGAGTTACAGAAAAGCCAATCGCTTACGAAGTCTATGACAGACTGAGGAGTTGGGCTTCGCAAAGCATTGATTTGGCAAAGATAAAACGACCTGCTGCCGGCGGAACGATGCCGTCTTTTCAGTGGTTTTCTTGACTCAATCAGGTTTTGAATAGTTCTCTTTCTGTCTATCATACACGATAACGAGAGAGTACGGTTGTAGGCAAACATGAGCACTATTCACACAAGAAGAAAAGGCGCTCCTGTGATGATGCGATGGCAATATGTTCAACTTTAAGCAGTTGCGATTTATCCATATGTGATAAGTTCACGAAAGAAGAGCGCGACAGGATGAGAGCCCGCGACTCGAACATCGCGCAATTCTACGGACTCCCAAAGGTGCACAAAGATAAGGTACCTAATGTGTTTGGCAATACTTCATTCCTATATCGATTTGCCCATGTAGCTATCCATATATATACAGCTCGCCGTCTAGTTACTAAGCCACGAAGCTAATCTAGAGAAACCAACGATTTAAGATACGGAGACGAGACAGAAAATGAAGTATTGCTATGAGACACTGATGCTGTGGTAACTTAAACAACTGGAAAAGAATAATGAAGCAGGTGTTGAAACGAAAATGCTGAAGTGGCGGAATTGAAATGCAAATCAACCATGGAAGACTAGATCACCAGATTTGGTAGCAAAATGACGCGACTTGTGCGTAGAAATCCGAATACCCCAGCCTATGGAGACGTTAGTGCCACTCAGTGAACCCTTCGCGTGGTCCCCACGACCTATTGCCCAAACCTTCCTTTTGCCACAATCAAAACATCCTGCGCTCAAGACCTCAATCCTGATTCGGTTCTATGTCTATAACCATCCGGCCAACATGTACTTTAGAAATTTGTCTCAATACATTGAGTTTCCATCACAAATACGTTCACCTTGATCCAGTTTGATGTGATGTATAGTTCACTCCTGTTACATATGGCGCTACCAGTTGCATTAGGGGTGCTCTGAACAATTTGGATCTCTGTGCCTTTGCGCCATTGGACATTAAAGTACATTGGCACCCCGGAGCGTGGTTCATGGTGGCTACATCGCACTGTCAGTGAGTTCACAATCTTAGAACCTGGATGCGGGTGAAGAGCGTGCTTAAGAACAACTTCATCCGTGCACTCAATGGTGTTGCCGCCCACTCTCTGTGTACGGTTGAACTTTAACAATGTCAGAGAATCACCGTGTGTGTGTGTGTGTGTGACACACAATCCCAAAGCCTACGAGGCAGTGTAGTATCCAGCTGTTTGGTCAATTACCCTCATTCACTGTCGAGTACAAGTAAGGTGGCCGGATTTTTCGCAGGCCAAAACGGGACGCTTTCAGATTTGTTTACGGGCCAGGGCGTGACGCTTAGCCTACCCCACCCCCGCTGTTTCAGCATATGCAGACTGTACAAAAATTGAAAAGCTAAATATCTACATGTGTTACTTCACTGCAATAACAGAGTACTTACGTTTACCGCGGAGGCTGTATTGCAGAATCTGACGCCTCTACGCAAACAGCTCGCTGGGTGTTGATATCATTCGTCCAGAGGCATTGAAAGCAACAGCATGCCAACTGGCAGGACATTTAACTTAGTTTTTCAGCGCTGCGTAGATCAGAACCAAGTTCCCGCTATGTGAAAGTTTGGAATAATAATCCCGATTCACCAAGGTGGAAGCAGAACTGAGCCTACCAACTACTGCCTAAAATCCTTTCTTCCTGTACCCTCTAAGGTCATGAAATCCATAGTTGCCGATGCACTGGTGTGTTATCTGGAAAATTACATCACGCCTGACCAGCACGGTTTCCGTCGACATCAGTCATGCATAATGAATTTACTGATCACACGCAGTAGTTAGACCGAGTCAGCTGACGCCGGAGAAGAGGTTGATGTGATCTATCTGGATGTTTCCAAGGCTTTCGATCGTCTAGACCATCGGATACTACTCTCCAAGCTCCAGCATTACGGGATCGGCGACCGTCTTTTAAGCTGGATTGCCTTCTTTCTACTTCAACGGCAATTAGTGGTCAGTCTTCGGAGCTATTTATCGGACGCCATACAAGTCGAGTGTGGTGTGCCGCAAGGCTCAGTTCTCGGTCCACATCTGTTTTTAGTGTTTACTGATGACCTCGCACTATGTATTAAGACGCCGCTATATGTAAGCATGCGTCATTCGCAGCCATATTAATTGGCTACTTTGAGCCCACTGAAAGTCAATGATGTTGATTGTGCTAACAGCACAAAGTGCTAAGGTATCGTGCATTTGGTATTGCAAACTTTTTGTAACTGGTACAGTTATCCAGTTCCAGCTTGTTTTTCAAGTTACGGTGGAAACGAGTTGCCCAACATTTGCAAGCGCTTTGTGCGCTTGTATTAGAATGAAGGAAACGTAGCACTACAAAGTGTTGAATGCAGTGCAAACTAATGACTAGACCAGGCCTTCAGAAGTAAAGTGAACTTACCTAAGCTAGCTGACGGTAGATCCAGATTACGGAAATCATCTGCATAGGGTAAGAAAACCAGAAGGAATCCGGGAGGATACAACTGAGTGCCATCAGCGTCCAGTCGCTCCGCCTGTCGCGATACAGAATGATGTGTAAATAGCGGGAGTGTGCAATAAAGTAGTTAGATGGCTAGGATAATGTCAGAAAGCAACCGAGGGAGAGTTCGGGTTGTCGAACAAAATCAGATTGAAAAAAATTAATCCACTAAAGGGAACAAGCACTGCAACAAAAACAACAACAACAACAACTCAAAGTACACCGCATTAACTAGCGTAGTCAGCACACCGTAATCTGCAATGTGTAGTTATGGAAACGACTTCGTTATTTATAGCGAGGTACCTACATGCTTGTCAGGCTATCATTTCCGCTGAGTTTGCTTTGTCGAATAAACCGTCTGTCTCTGAATGACCAAGATCTACGAAATCCGCTAAGCACATTTCAGCCCTGTCGTTCAGCAAACTTGATATAATCGACTTGTGTGTGTTTACCATAAGAGGATCGTTTAAAGTGTATGACACCTACAACCGAGGCGTAATATCGTGAAACACCTCATACTAACAGCGTACACCCACACAATCTCGAGCGTTGAACATGGTAAATGTCAGGATATTTGTCCAATCTCGGCGAATCTATGTAATCCCCAGGCCATGGACCGTGCATACATGTGCCGAAAATATTTGTTCATGGACCGCGATTTGTAGTGTAGTGAATCTTGGTCAATTCGATCACTGGGACTGCAACATGAAGCATATCAGTATCGGGTGCTTCCCGTCTGAAAACACCGCACTCAACGATCGGTTTCGGATTTGTATGATCTCATCAGGTAGAGATGACAGGTATCGACCCCGTGACTATTGGGATATTAGCTAAAATCGTTACTAATTTGGCAACTGAGTGACGACGAGTAAAGCGTGCCACGGGCCGTTGGAGTGCAGTGTTTTCGAACGGACAACCCCCAATAGTTATCTGTTTCATCAGTTACTGTCCATGTGATCGAATTGACCAATGTACACTTCAATGCGAATCGCGGTTCATGAGCATATATTTTCGGCAAATTTACGCAATCTATTTGTCAAGTCAGTATCGTATGAAAAATGAGAAAGGCGCCAGGCGGTGCAGAGCTGAAGAACGGAAGGTGTCCACAACGAAGTGAACACTTACCTGTGGAGTGAGAGCCACAAGACGAGGAGGCGTGCGCTTTCTTGGGACATAAACAGCTAAGGCAAACAGATCCCGTCGAAGGCAAACGTGTAAAAGAAGAGAGAACCATGTGCGACTACCACGAACCACCGACTCGTTAGGGTAAACAAACTGCGGAGGTCGGATATGATAATGACGTTTTAGTTCCTTCAGTGGTTTGAATCCCAGTAGGTATAGCCCTGAGCAGCACAATGAAAGAAAAGTTGAGAACGGAAAATGGATATAAAAGCGCCTTCATAAGGAATGAGTATCCACGATGATGAAAAGAAGTTCCGCGTGAAATTAAAAACCTTAGCCTCGCATGACGAGTCAAATTGACCTAAAGATTGACGTGAGAAAAAAGTTTGTGAATTGACACTTCTGCGGTGAGTTAGAACAGCTTGTTGAAATGCAAATAAGCGTCAGGTGGCAGTACATAGTCATTAGAATAGGGTTAAACAAGGGACGAATGTTTCCAAGCATGTGTAGTAGCAAAAATAATATGACAGCTAGCATGTCGTTAAGCATAATGAGTAGTAGGCGAGCAGGACATAATGCTGGAATATCGATTTACTGATGTCGTTTGGTGGTAGACCCGAAAGTCCCAGGTCCAAAGTTCTGCTCATCAAGACTTGGGGAGGACGTATGCAAGAAGGATTATCTATAGCATAGAATGGAAGTGCACAAAAAGTGGCGAAAAATCGTGCATTGCACGATCAAAAATACGAAACATGTAGTAGCTCATGTCATGTGATTTAGGCTTGGCTCTTCATCGCTGCATCCCCAACAAAACATACGCCAAGCCAAAGAAGGCGGGAATATGCCAACTGATCCTACGACATTGGATAGTACTGTGCAAACCTGAGAGACGCTTCTACATGCACGGATACAGACTATCAGGAAATAAAATTTCAAAGCGTTTCGGAGTAAATTTCCTTTGTAGGCTGACGCCGTGCCATTGTTCACCGAAAGGAAAGCATAAATACTTTCCTTTTATCCCGACAAAGTGGAAAGCACCCAGTTTAAAAAATGTGGTTAGGAAGTACTTGGCAGCATTAACTGAACGAAATGTGAAATGTCGAAATCACTTCGAATTCGAAGAGGAACACCGTTTTCCGAGAGGAGCATACATATTTGACTGAGCTTTGCAGTGAGTGTAGCAATGCGGTAGTGGTGTGATCACTGAAGGAAAATCCATGACGATGGCCTACGTTGAGCTTCAGACATCGAGCTCGATGGAATGGACACAAGTGGCCACGGGGGCTAGAAAACTCGATATGATTTGCTTTGTCTATCGCTTCTTCTGAGCCGTACATGTGATTTCATTTAGCGTAAAGATATAGTGACACCAAATATTGAGTGGGATTGCCTAGCAAAATATACAGACGATAGGGCACAGGCGGTAACTGATGATTACGAAAAGGTTACATCTCTCGCCGATAACCGTGAGTTTGCCGCATAACGCTCGCAGTCACCCAGCAAGAACGTTTACTCCAGTTGGAAGCATTTCGTGTGCGTACATTTATTGTCGTGCGACAGCCCAATTTGTGACTGTTTGTTTGCTTAACGCATTATATAATACTATGATGTCCCTGCGGATAAACTGCTTACTACACAATCTCAACACCGCGGTGGTACCAGGTTCAGTGGAAACTAATAAAATGGTATTCTCTTCTACCTGATGAGACAGGGGTATAAGATAGAGAGGAGCATATTGGTAGCCTAAGTCGCTCAGTTGGTGGTCGGAGTGGGCGCTGAGCTCGGCAGTTTTGCTGCAAACGTCTCACCACCACTCGAAGTGACAAAGTTAGTGCAGTATTCTGTAGCGGAGCGGAACGATGCGAAGCGTCAGTGAGTGTGTAAAACGCGGAGATTTTCGCTATCGGGGCCATAACCATTTCCGGTTTTAAAGCACTTCCAGAGGCACTCTAAAGACAGGTTGAACGAATCCGGTTTCCGGACTGGAAGCCATAATCCCGACAATGCCGGTAGTAGGAAAGCTTTACCGGTTGGCAATGGCAACGTGACTGAGTCCTGTTAGGGAAATTAAAAACAGGTGTGTGGTAAACTGATAAAGCCCGGTAAGTCAGAATTGGAAGCAGTGAAAGTGGGTAAATTTTCACCAGTTTGTCGGCTGAATGACAAATAAGAAAATGCGTTTAATGAAGTTTCTGATGTGTAAAAACATTAATCGTCTTTTAAAAATGTAGTACTCAATTTATTGCAGCATTTTCAGTCGAATTAGTAAGAATGCTAAGATTTTGTTTTGACGGACAACTTCCGTGTTTTGGTATATGAGGATTAAATTTATGTTTTCGGCTGTAATTTCTAAATCTTAGCTATCCGCGCGCAGCAGATATGCTTAGCAGGCAATAGGCAGCCAAACGCACACATCTTGCAGGTATGCAAATGCTTACGCATCAGAAACGTTCGCTATACTCATTGTTATCAGTTACATTGAAGCAGTTATCTGCTATTGAAGCTTGTCACGAAGATCAGTCCTATCAAATAACGTAAAGTATTGTTTATAGGGGCATTATGTGCTTACATCAACAGAGTAAATGTATTTTCGTCCGAATTTTTATTTGAATTTACGCGCGAAAGTAACGCTGGATGCATTTCGGTGCTAGCAATTGCATAATGTGTGCACACACAAACTGCGTGAAGAGGGTTGTGCTTAGTGAGATTTGTAAATGTATTCTCGCCCGGCCGTTAATCGCTCAGGTGCCCCCAGAAGTCATCATTTCTGTTCGACTGAATCGTCAGCACAGAGCTGTACTGATCCGCTACTACTCAGTAAAACATGCTAACCATAGACCACCTTGTTTGCAAGCTAAGACACAATAACTTAGCAAGAAGTATGAAACGGGCAGACCCAAATGACCGATTCGTCAAGGAAACCATAGTAGTGAGTAGGATGGTAAATTAAAGCCGTATCGTGGATATGCAATATTGCAGATTCCTGGTGACGCAATCAGATGCAGTAAGGTAATGGCAATGCGCCCGAGTAGCAGTAACTAAGAGGTATGGACGAAAGAACGAGATAAGCGGGGGAAGAACGTCTCTCAGGATTAGCTCTGGTTAGTTGAATGTGATCAGACTGAGAAAAGGTGATCAGTAATCGAAGTATCGCAGGGATGATGAGTGGGTTAAATGCCAGTCACCAAGTGGATGACCAGATAAAGCAATAGTTGATATGGTGTGGTACCGGGTGTGAAAAAGGTGACGTATGGCTCTGTTTAAACGGTTGTTCACTTTAGAAGAAAGTAGAGTGGGAATTGGCTGAGCATCTGGTTGGCATGGGCTAGGATACGAAAACTGCTAGATCGACTGGCGCATAATGGCTTAAATCTTGGTAGGCACTTCGCACCATTAAAATGCTAGGAAATAGGACTGCGTCCTAAAGACCTAAGCAGAGAGGGTGAATGGTGACCGTGAACATCCGTAAGGCTCATACAGCATGTCAGCACCACAACCTCTAGCGAAAGTAAAGAGCGAACAGTTTAAGTGTTAATGATATGGTGTGCCATCAAAGTGCGGTCGGCGTCACAGTAGGCAATGGAGACATGACCAATACAGGTTGGAGGTCACAGGATAATTTCCGGCTCCGATCAGTACGGATTGTCAAGAACTGCTTGCTTCTGAAAAGCCATTGCGTTGATAAAGCTAAGTAAGCTGGATGTCGGCGAGGGTCCCAGTACATGAACACGTAACGGATCTGCGCTGCGTAGAACGAATGATGCAGTTTCACGCTGCAGCCAAAAAGTAAAACAGCGCCGTTTTTAGCAAAACTGCATCCGTTTGGACTAGAACCCAGAGCGGCCTGATGGTGATGTAGAAAACTTAGTGGAGGACACGGGCAGAAGGCCTGTGTCGAGCGAGTGGATGCAGCCTACCTATAAAGACATCTCGTATCGAGTTCAGCGACGTACTTGCACTCTGTTCCTAGATTCCAGCTGCTTGTCATTCAGCTTGAAGAAACTAACTTTTACGTGACTTCTCTCAATATGATTGTCCTCAGAAAAGGGAATAAAGGTAACTGATTACAGCATATTTCGACAATGGGGACGTGGTTGGCTAAGTGAAGCATGATGCCAACTCGGATGCTTACTCCGCAGCAACGGATTCGTTGAAATTAAGCCACCGTTATGTAGAGGAGGAGGACGTTTGGTGCGTCGCCAGATACCCATGATTGATTTGTTTGCCACAGACGCAGATTGACCCTAGTAGAAGTACATGCATCATGGCATCCAAAAGCGGAAACGGAACATACCCACAGGTGCTAGTTCTTTCATGGCTCGATTCAATTCGTCCGACTCGAAACACAGGTAACGACTGCCCATCTTTATCCCTCGCATAATGTCATGTGACTGTAGCAAATCTGTTTGGGGATCGAATCCACCGCCGGGTTTAGTCACTTTGTACCAATTGCGACGTGCGGTGACCGGGCGATTATCATGTGCCGATAATCGCACTCCAGGCGGTAGCGGAGTTCGCCGAAGCAGGCAGTAGACTGAGACGCCTAGGGACATTCGTGAGTCTGGGCCCAGATGAAACAGTAGACTGGTTAGTCGGCGTTCAGGAAGTTCACGTGATCGAACGCTGAAACCAAATAAGCCAATGTACGTGTGATGTTAGTTGGGATGATATACATCATCAAAAAAAGCAGCAAACAAGTTGTCATGGCGGGAAAACTAAACGGAATTGAGAATCGCACGGTGGAAAGATGGGAAAGATTCACTCCAGTTCAACACTAAGAGAGAGCGATTTCGATGTGATCAAAAGCTTTACAGATAGTCAGGAAGTTTGCACATAGGTCTCTACAAAGACCGGTCCGACATAAAAATGGTGACTACACAGGGAGAAATTCTTTACAGTGTACGGAAACGCATAAAGAGTAGTGCAGAAAGAAGCAGACGAGCCCTAACTTAAACAAGTAGGCCGTATCACTGACTCTCACACAATCATCACACAAAGGGGAGAAATAACGTAGCACAGTTGGTTCAGTCTAGTAATGTGACTTTGATCCAAACAACCAGATGAAATGGTACCAGGTTGCCTGATTGTAGTCATAGTAACACAAGATACGATGATAACAAAAACGAGACAGAGCGCCAGACGAGTTAGTGTAATCAATAGTAGGATAGAAATTGGTGAACATGCATATAGGAGAACAACAATCGATAAAGATGAAGCAAAGAAAAATGACAAACAAAATCGAT